CCCCCCCCCCCCCCCCCCCCGGTCTCAGGACAAGGCCTGTGTTGCCCTCATCCCTTCGGGTGTCCTTACTCTTCACGGGTTTTTCTCAGGGTTCATGCTCTGTACTCATTTGGTAATAACACATCTGGTAATTGCCATGCGTCAGAGCTGGCCTAGGAAGATCGAAGTGCGTGTGTTTCCAGGAATACCATGACTCTCCATCCCAGGAATGTAAATATCTAGTAAGCTTGCATCAGACCTTGTAAAACACTGGGTTCCGTGGCCAGATGGGAGGAGCTGGGTTCTGCCTCTCTGGCTCTGTCCTCGTCGGTAGATCGTCCCTGACCCTCTGAAGTCCTCCAGTCCTTCCCACCTTACAAATCCAGCCACCTCTGTTTCACCTGGAAACAAGCTTTGGTCATCCCCAAGAGCAAATGCGATGGACCCTCTTCTGATCCGGTCATAGCCCGAGTCCCACGTGTCTTGGCTCTTTGCATGGGCTCCCCCAATGCTTTCTTACAAACCAAAGCCATTAGTTCACTGCCGTGTTGAACCTTCTGTTTCCTTCTTGCCTTAGAGTTGTAATCCTTCTAACTCCTTTGTCTGTGTATCTTTTTATCTTCCATATAGACACCCATGAATCTTAGGCCTTTCACCCGAAATGACCTGATGGGTATGTGTATATAGAATATATTTATATATGTAATTCAAGTAATTTATCGAACACGTGTTGTATTCACCTGCTTCAAAACTCCAAAGTGCAAGAGGGTCTAGGATTAGAGAGAAGGCTCGGCAGTTAGGAGCACGTACTCTCCTCAGAGCACCCAAGTTCAGCTCCCAGAGCCCATACCAGGTAGCTCACAACTGCCTGTGATTCCAGCTTCAGAAAATCTGATGCCTCTGGCCTCTTTGGGCACCTGCACTCAAGTGCACTTGAGCACAAATGCGCGCGCGCGCACACACACACACAAATTAGAAAAAAAATAAATCTTCATTTAAAGGGTCTTGATTAAGTGATTCTCTCTCCCACATCACTCCAGCAGTCTCCAGCGCTGTTCCTCAGGGGTACTCAGTGCTACTCGGACTGAACATGCTGGGTCCGCTTACCTCTAGTGGTTCTCTCTTCAGGAAAATACGCATGCAGATACCATCTTTCCATCTCTTTGAAAATAAAACTAGAAAAGATAGTATCTTTTCGGCACCTGGTTTCTCACAGACCACAGCATGTTCTGTACATTGCCTCTTAAGCAATTTGCTTTTGTTTCTTTTCTTTCTTTTTTTTTCTTTTAATTTTGCTTTGTTTTTCAAGACAAGGTTTCTTTATGTAGTTTTGGCTGGCCTGAAACTCGCTCTGTGTAGATCAGGTTGCCTCGAACTCAGAGATCCATCCGTGTCTGCCTCCAGAGTGCTGGGATTAAAGGTGTGCACCACCATAGCCCAGCATTTTTTTTTTTTTTAATTTTAGGGCTTTCCCCTGGTATTGATTGCATATTTGGATGTGTCAGATGTATTTAACCAGCCAAGGTTGATAACTATTTGACTTAGATTCACATTTTTGCTTTATTAAACAGTTGCAATAAATAACTTAGACACAAATGAGCAAGAATAGTTGCAAAAAAAAAAAAAAAAAAAAACTCTCCTAAGGGGAACCGTTTAAGTACATCCCTCCAAAATTCCTATGTTGGAACTTAACCCTTAAGGTGGCAATAAAAAGTGGGGTCTGTTGGGACGTTGGGAGGGGGGCGTAAATAGATCTTGGGATAGTGTAATGCCCTGTAAAAGGGTTGGAGAGAGTAACCAGGGCCCTGTGGGCCCTTTCATCTCTTCATCTTTCATCTCTTTTGCTATTGAGGATGTATTCGTCTCTTTTACAATGTCCATCATTCTATGAGAAAGCAGCAAGTGGTGTAGAGACCAGGGCTCCAGCAGACACTGACAAGCCGGGGCCTTGGCCCTCCCGTTCTCTGGACACTGAGAAGTAACGTTCTGTGCTTTATAAATTATACAGTCTAGCCGGGCGATGGTGGCGCACGCCTTTAATCCCAGCACTCGGGAGGCAGAGGCAGGCGGATCTCTGTGAGTTCGAGACCAGCCTAGTCTACAGAGCTAGTTCCAGGACAGGCTCCAAAGCCACAGAGAAACCCTGTCTCGAAAAATAAATAAATAAATAAATAAATAAATAAATAAATAAATAAATAAAATAATAATAAGAAAAATTATACAGTCTAAAGGACTATGTTATAGCAATCAGAATGGGCTACAGCATAGAATTTCAAGGTCAAACAGTATGGGATAATTGTTTCCTGTCCTTTTAAAACATTAATCAATTAACATGTGTATGAGTGTTTTGCCTTATTATGTGTACCACACGTGTGCCTGATGCCTGGGAGAGTCAGAGAAGGACATTGGAATCCCCTGGAACCGGAGTTATAAGATGGTTGTGAGCGAACATGTGGGTGCTGGGAATCGAACCTGGGTCCTCTGTAAGAGCAGCCAGTGCTCTTAACCACTGAACCATGTCTCCAGCCCCCATGGTAATTATTTTCAATTAAAGTAAATGCTTTTATTTAGAAACAATCGCACACTTTCATAAAGCTTCCTGAACCATATGCCTGATCCCCTCCGAAACTTTAATGTGTTTCCTACAGGCTAGGACAAAAAACAACACACACACACACATACATACACACACACATACACACTCAGACATACACACACACCAGTGACAGCATCACCACCTGACCTTCACCTCCATCCAATTTTTTTTAAATATTTTTACAGTTTGTTTAACTTTATTTTATGTGCATTGGTGTGAAGGTGTCAGATCCCCTGCAACTGGATCTTCAGACAGTTGTGAGCTGCCATGTGGGTGCTGGGAATTGGACCTGGGTCCTCTGGAAGAGCAGTCAGTGCTCTTAACCACTGAGCCATCTCTCCAGCCCCCCTCCATCCAATTTTTAACCAGATAACAAATACTTTTTTTTTTTTTTTTTGCAAAACAAACCAATAAACAAGACTCGGTTGAGTATCACAGTGAGTAAGTTAGATATCACAAGGAAGGCCGTCTGTGGCTGGGTGGATCTGGGCATTTCCTGAGGAAGTTCAGAGACCGGTGCTCTCATCTCTCCATGCCTCCTGTCAGGTGGTGGATAGTTTTGATTTATCTCCTTGGTCGAAGTCTGTCAGGCTTTTTCACCATGAGGTTTTTCTATGTGTTTTTTCCCCCTTATCTTTCCGGGGGGGGCACAGGAAAAATGCCCATCTACCTCAGAGGCAGCACTGGTAACAGAATAAAGGGACGATTGTGGCCAAGACCAGGCTGGGGAAACTGATGAATGGATTATAGTTACTTAGGGAGCGTGGGTGACTCAGGGGCAGCTCTGTCACCTGAAGTCCCACCCTAGCATGGGTGAGGACTCAAGGAAGTTGTTTTACAAGAACTATTTACTGCTTTCGTAACCCCTGGGAAGGGACAGTGAGCTTCGGGAGCTCTTTAGGTTCCTGTGAGTTTCAGGGCTTTCCCGTTCCCTGTAGAAGGGGATGTGTCGATCCAGAGGGATTGGCTACACAATGCATGGACACCTTAGGTTTTTATCTTTTCTTTTTTTTTTTTTTAAAAGATTTTTTTTATTTACTTAACTTTATTTTTTATGTGCATTGGCGTGAAGGTGTCAGATCCCCTGAAACTTTTTACAGACAGTTGTGAGCTGCCATATGGGTGCTGGGACTTGAACCCGGATCCTCTGGAAGAGCAGTCAGAGCTCTTAACCACCAAGCCATCTCTCCAGCCCGACACCTTAGGTTTTACTTTTTAAAATTATCGTTAGCATTATTTTGATGATCTAATCACCTCCAACTTTGAGGGACTGGAGAGGTGGCTCAGCGATTAAGAGCCTATGATGGACTTACAGAGGACTTGGTTTGGTTCCCAGCACCCACATGGCAGTTCACAATCATCTGTAACTCCAGCTCCAGGTGACTGGACACCCTCTTCTGGTCTTTGCAGGCACCAGGGACACATGAGATGCACATACATGCACACAGGCAAACACTCACACACATAAGATAAATCTTTAAAGGAGTTACTTGTAGTGAGAGTCCTTTGGGCACATATCTACCATGCTTTGAAAACTTTTGCTGTTTAACATAAACAGTCCAGGCTCCTTCTCCTTCTGTAGGCTTCCTTGGGGTCATCCAT